AGTGAAAGGAGGAAGGACATACTCTCTGAACCTTGGCAAAGGGGCAGGGTGAGGGTCAGGTGAACCAGGAGAGCACAATGGGAAAGGACTTTTGGCTACAGTGGAGTTAATTTGGCAGAGGAGACCAGGTGTGGGGTAGAAGCAGGTTCATAGGAGCCTGCAGACTCTGAGGGTGGCTGGGAGAAAGCAGGGCTATGGGCAGGGAGGCCGGGGTCTCTGTTTGCTGGATAAAGGGCTGTGGGCTGGGCAACTGGATGTACCTGGTGTCCCAAGAATCCTGTACCATGAAGGAGGGCTACGGATGAGCAGAGTAAGGCACAGGCCACTGGCCCTGACCAGATAGAGAGGCTGGACCCAGGGTCCCTGAGAGAGGCTGCGGCCCCCAGCAGCTGTAAAGCCCTTTCCCCCAGGAGCAGCCTGCTGCCTGGGACTGGGGGTCACTGCCAGGGCCCCACACTGTATCCTAGCTAAGATCTGGTCACAGTGTAGGTGAGTGACACATGTTCAGAAGGGAAAAACGGACAGTGGGGCCTACCAAGGGGCATAGAAGTAGACTAGAGGGAAGAGGAACCACTGAATCATCCTAAGAAACAGGTTCTAAAGTCGTCATTTATTTGGCAGTTTTAGGTTTCATCTTAGCCCAAGGATACTCCCTTGGTGAAGTTTGTCAGGACTGAATCAACACTTTAAAAATGAGGGCAAATAACAGAGTAGAGAGGCAGATGTGTGTTGTGTGTGTGTGTGGGGTGGGGAGGGATGGTGGTATTGCTGGTGGTGGTGGCGGCAAACTGGCCATGAACCTAAATGTTTTCTCAAGTCTTTTTATAACCTCTCCTTTGCCCCAGCTTCAAGCAAGCACTAGTCTGTACACAATATAGCATGTGCTTTATCTGGCTTCATTTAGTTGGCATGATTTTTGAGATACAGTCATGTTGTTGCTGGTGTTTATAGTGCAGAGTAGTATTCCATTGTATGGATATACCAAGACGTATTCAGTCATTTACTTGGTCGACAATTGTTCATAGTTTCTGGCTATTAAAAATAAATCTGCTATAAACATTCATGTAAAGCGTTTGTATAGACATATGTTTTCCTAGATCTTTGGTAATTACCTACGAGTAAAATGTTTGGATCATATAGTTGGTGTATATTCAACTTTTTAGGAAAATGTCTGTGTTTGCCAAAGCAGTTGAACCATTTTGCATTCCCACTAGCAATATGTGAGTTCCAGAACCTACGCATCCTTGCCATGCGTTTGTAATTAAAAAAAAAAATTATTAAGAAACCACTGTCATTTGTTTTTTTCCTTTCTGGAGCAGTTTCTCCAGAAAAGATTCCACTAATTTCGTGTGTGTGTGTGTGTGTGTGTGTTTTATCCTGGCTACTTGCATTCAGGGGCAGTGGATTGGGTGAAGGAGGCTACATATCCCACCATTCAATGTGCAGGTTTTCAGTCCCTTTGTTTCTAGCCCTCCGGCTGCCCTCCAGGCCGCGGTTATGTGAGTTCTGTGTCAGTCAGTGCCCCCTCACTGTTTCCCCATGACAGGCTCCTACTCAAGCATTGCTGGTGTTTCTTTTTTTTTAAATGTGAAATGATCACCAAGAATAACTGGATACTTAGAAAAGTCTACATGTTTAAGAAAATGAATGCCTATGAAGAAATAACCATCCCAGGAGCAAAAGGGAGATATATTTAAAAATCATAATCTCGGAAAGTTGGCATCAACAGGTCAGCGGACAAACTCGGGGACTATGCACTGGAATATGATGCAGCAATGAGGTCATGGACTATTGAGGCAGATTTACAAATCACATCTGATTAAGGTTTTGAATCCAAATACGTAGAAAACTCTCAAAATTCAGTAATGAATATTTTAAAACAATTTTAATGGGCAAAAGATTTGAATAGACATGTCACACAAGAATACATAGAAATTGGCAAATAAGCACGTACAAAGATGCTCACATAGTCATCAGGGACCTACCAATCAAGCCACAATGACATACCATCAGCCGTCTCTGAGTGATTAAAATTAAAAAGAATGAAGAACACTTTCGATTGTCTTTTTTGTTCATGATTAATTCCTTGTATAAGGCTGTCCACAAAACATGGTCATTTGAATGTAAAGTGCACGGAGGTTTGGAGAAGCTGCTATAAGCTCAGGTTCGCAGAGGGGCTACCAACTAGAAGTGAGGGAGACACTCCTCTCAAACTACACAGCACTCACTGAAAGGCCCATGCCTCCCAGGCTCCTGCGTAGGGTGGCAAATCATTATGCTGGAGGACCCTTAAAGACCAAAAAGTGCCTAACTGTTTTTTCTGGGGTGCCAATACCTAGTTGCTCTGGTTTTCCCCAAACCCTTCTTTTTTTAAATTTATGAGGCCCTCACTAGCCCTTTCCCCACTCTACTTTGCTTTTCCCTGGGAATGGGTGTAGAGTGAATTTCTGGGCTTTATGTGTTGTTTGCAGAAGCAGGAATGTAGGGGACCCTGTTGTCTGCCCCATGCACAGACTTCCAGTTGTATGTCATCGTGAGGTGCACATTTCACTTCCCCCTTCCATCAGCCCTGGCGTTTAGGATTTACCACCTGAGCAGGGCACAGTGTATGCTCTCTCCATTGTCACAGCACATCTTGTCACCATTCCGACCTGTGCTGTGGTTGATGCAATAACTCGTTCTCCTCTTTCTGGAGCCACTCCTTCCCTTGCCAGAGCTATCATAAGAGGAGTCACGAGAAGTAAAAGCATATGTTCAGTTCATCATATTTAACTGAGAACTTTTAAGTGTACTCCTAAAAAACATGAAGACTATTCCTAATGTTGCCTTTTTAAAAAAAGTGAATGTCCTTTCCAAATTACTAGTTTGTAAACAAAGGAAATTTCACATGAAAACAGAAAACAAAAAACAGAACATTTCAGTGTAGCAATTAGTAAGATAATTTGAGCTAACTTATTAAATGGCAAAGTCTATTTATTATGCTGTTCAAGACAATGAAAGTAAATGACATTTAGCCCCGACTGGTGTGGCTCAGTTGGTTGGCACTGATCTTCAAAGTGAAGGGTAGCTGGTTTGATTCGGGGCACGTGCCTGGGTTGTGGATTCGTTCTCTGGTCGGGAAGTGTGTGGGAGGTAGCTGATTGATGTTTTTTGCACACCAATGTTTCTTCCCTTTCTCCTTCCCCTCCCCTCTCTAAAAGTAAATTAATAAAATCTTTAAAAAAACAACCAAACAAGTAACATTTAAAAACTGGAATGAGAGGATAGGCAAAGAAATACCAGATGAATTTAAAGTTATGAACAAAAAACAATGTGGCAATATTCTTCTCAAAGCTGAATTCAAAGCAAGAAGCATTCAGAAGCGAGATTATCTTATATCGGTAAGGTACAAAATGTACGGTGGAAAGTTCTACAAAAGCATTAAAACATAAGGCAAAAACAATTAGAAACACAAGGAAAATTTGAAAGAAAAATAAACTTGTAGAGGATTTCAACGATGTAATTAGTATGTTTGAACAACAAACAGCATAAACTATAAAAAATAGTCTGTGATTATTATGAAAAGCTTGATGGTACACAGGAAAACTCTAAATCCACAGAAGAAAATTCCACATAAATACTCTCTCTCCATACATAGGAAAATGAACAAAAAAAATCCTATAAATAAAATCTCCAAATGGTTGAAAAGTAAAAAGCATTACTTCGAACAGAAATTAAGTTTCCTAAAAATATTTAGATCAAAACAAAACCTAAGTACATCTGGAGACTATTTAGGATCATAATGATTCAAACATTAAAGTGAAGGAAATGTGGTATTACTTAGCAGAAAAACACAGCCTTACAAGCTAAAGAAACGCTTGTTAAGAAACTAGTGCCCTGGCTGCTGTGGCTCAGTGGCTTGAGCACTGGCTTATGAACCAAACGGTTGCTGGTTCAATTCCCAGTGCAGGGCACGTGCATGGGTTGCAGGCCAAGACCCCAGCAGGGGGCGCGCAAAATGTATCCACACATTAATGTTTCTCTCCCTCTTTTCCCGTCTCTAAAAATAAATAAATAAATAAAATCTATTTAAAAAAGGGAAATACATGAAGCATTCCTTCTAAGCAGTAATAAACACAATGTCTCCCCCAAGTTCCAATGAAAATAAGATAAAGCAGATAAGAATTAGGAAATTACCATAAGAAGAGTTAGAGTAAAACAACAACAAAAAAACCTTAGAGTATCTAATGAAGAAAATAACCCACGAGATTAGAATGTCAGTGTGGACATGTTCCTACAGTATGCCATTTCCTCTATGCCTGCTGGCAAACACTCTTTCCTATTTCTGATCTGTATCAAGTACATTTGAAAATCTCGAGAGAAGTATAGAACTTACAACAAAAAAGCAAAGAAGTAAACCCAACAGCTAGAGTAGAAAACAAACCAAGAGCCATGTAAAAAAAAGTAACAGAATGCTCAAAATAGTAATCTCAAAAAAGGCATTCCTGTTAAAGCCACACAAGAATCCTGATGAATACCTCTATTATTCAAATTGTACTTAAATTTCTTGCTAATATAAGGAACAAACAAAAGGAATAGCTTCAAATGTTGCAAAACAAGAACTTGAGCTATTTGCAAATGATATGACTGCAAAGATAAAGAACCTAAGAATAATGAAAATAAGTTGGAATTTACCAAGTAATTTCAGGACCATGGCTAGAGATGACAAATATACAAACCTCAATAGCTTTAATTCATCCTAGTTATAAAAAGCATTTGGAGACACATTCTCAGTCAGGACAAACAAGATGTCAAATATCTAAAAATAACCTTAACAGAAATGCACAAGATTTATAGAAAGAATGTTACACAGTTCCACCGAAATAGGTAAGAAAATTTGATGTTATAACATGTTTAATGTAGGTCGGATGTTTGCAGGGCTAAAAATGTTACTGTCTGAAATAGAGTGAAGAAATGTAAATGTAGAGTAACAATGAAGATTATAACAAAAATGAGTGGACTTTTGACAATTTTTATTAATACCCTTAATTAGTATCTTACCACAACTGAAGACAATTGACTAAGTTATAAGGAAACAAAGGGTAGAGAGACAAGATAGAGCAGGATTTCTTCCCATGGTAGTAATCCATCCAGTGTGTGCTGGGAAAGTAGAAACCCTGCGTCAAATCTTGAGATAACCCAAACTTTTGTACACATGGGCCATTCCAATCAAACAGCAGCATTTTCAGAAGGAGCATTCAGCAGTGGGCTTCCGTGGCTCTCAGACACACATCCTTCTGGCCAGGTGCACCTCCTCAGGACAAAGGGGCCCAAATCCATCAAGACTGCCTCAGCTGTTTGAGTTTCCCTGAATTCCCATTTATTGCTTTATGGTTTCAAGGAATTGTTTGGTCAAAAAATGATCCAAAGTTCATTTAATAAATTTTCCCCACAAAAATAGTCCACTTTTAGTGAAAATGAAGCACAGCAGCATCCTGTGGAATTCTAAACCCTAAGAAACCCACAGAGAACAGAGTTACGCAACAACTCATGCGAGAGGTAGCCTCGAGAAGGGTGGGAGAGTGAGGGGATGGGTGCTGGGGGTCTCAAGAGCTGCGGGGCTGGAAGGCCTGCTTCCAGCCCAAAGGTAGCGGTGAGTAGACCGATGGGACACCACCTCGGGTGTGTCCTGGAGGACTTCTGCAACCTAGTACTGCCAGTGGGTCAGAGGTAAACAGCCTCTTCCAATTCTCTTCCAGTTTCCATCCTGCCAATGTGGCAGCAACTGTGCGGGCAGCACAATGAACTCATTAGATGTTCACAGAGAGCCTAGAGTCAACGGCCTTCTAACTGGAGATTTCTTTTAAATATCAGGCCATGAGTAGTAAATTTAATTACTGCCATTTATTTTAGTGGACCTTTCAAGTGCATCTAAAGCAAGAAATTCTGCTTCAAGATATCGTTTTGCAATGCTGAGAGGTACTTAAAAAAAGCAGCTTCAGAATTTCTAGTTCTACCTAGAAGTTAGAAGAAAAGGAAGAGCATCTCAGATCAGAGAATAGTGATGACTTACTGCAAGTGACCTGAGACTGGAGGGCAGAAGGGGTGGCTAGAGGGGGAGCAGACTGCCCTGCTCCACCTGCCTGCTCCCTCCCTCTGGCCTCCCCAAAATTCCATTTGTCAGGGACAGAGCAGCTTGCTTCTTATAAATGCCCCAGTGTCCGGCCTTGCACTGCCCTGCCAGTAGTCACCTGCTGGGCCAGAATGGAGCAGCTGCAGATGCCTTTGGTCCAGGCCTCACCTGGGCCTCACCTGGGCCTCCTGCATCTCCTTCCTCCATCCCCAAACCCTGCCTGCACAGTAGCCCACAGGGAGAGCCCATGTGTTCCCCTGACTCCCTGGCTTACACTGTGGGTACCCTGGGCCTCTCTGACCCAGTGGGATGAGCAGGACCTAGAAGACAGATCATGCCTCTATGGGGGGAAGACACAACACTGCCTTTGACCTTGGAATAACTGTTCCAGGGAGTTTTATAAGGGGTAGTGGAAGGTTTTGATCCATACAGGCCCTCAAAGACGGCACGTACATCCTGGCCTTGTGCGCACTTCGCTGGACATAATCGAAAGTGGTTAAGTCCAAAATCAGAGAAATGATCAGCAGTGATTACCCAGAGTTCCAGATCCCTGCCCTGGTATGGAGCGTAATATCTCAGCCTATATTTCAGTTTGATGAGTTTGTTATTAGGTAGCTTACAAATTTACTAGGAAAACAATTCTTAGGGCCAATCTTGAAAAAGATGAAGTAGCAGGAAAATTACAGAGAAAGAATTCATTTATATAATCCCTACTGAAACATCATCAAAAAGTTTCAAGTCGAAGATAATTCCACTGACAATGGACTTAAAACAAAAATGGAATTATAGTTTTTCTGAATTTTGGATAATCTTCAAATTTCTGAAGGTACCACCTACAATAAGAAAAAAGGACATTAAATAAAGGAAATGATTTTATCACTTAAACGTTTAACACTCTAACAAAAGGAACAATTTTTTTTTATCATAAAGGCAGACAGAGTTTTAAAAAGTAGTAATGAAAACTTTGACATTTCAGATACATAGGTTGATTTTGTCTATATAATGAATAACTAAATAATTAGTGATTATAAAGTGCGATTCACAAGTGGCCCATATAATTCACCCTTGTGTTGGCAAGGGTAATTACTGATGTGTGACAAAGATGCTGACTAGCATATGGTGGAGCCATCTTTCCAGACCCAAGAAGCGTGCAGATTAGGGGAGAGGAAAGGAACCTGGTAGGTGTGTCTTAATTATTTTCTGGAGACTCTGACAGTTCTCTTCGGACCCCAGGAGAGAGCTACTGCTTTAGACCCAGGGTCTGCGGGAAGGGCCCCCAACCAGGTGACTGTTAAACAGATCTGGGAAAATGCAACATGGGGTCATTCATAATTGGGCCCTATACTCAGAACAAACAGGTATTTTCCATTTTGATATAATAATAGCAACAAAGGCATATTCATTTGTTTTGGGATAACAGCTATTTGGGAAGGGTGGAAACTAAGTGGATAGAGTAAAAATTTAAAATAATTTGACATGAAGAAGAAATAGAAAGATGGAGTTTCCATAAGCACAAAATAATGTTAAACAGAATAAAAGCCATGATGGGAAAAGACTGGCTATTTGTTAACATGGCAGCAACACATGACAACAGCACACAAAGTGAGTGAACAAAGCCCTGTCGATTTTAGATTTTGGAGAGGTTTAACACTATAATCCACAAATAGAGAATTATGAGGGACTACCAGGTTTACTTTCATGGTAGTCTGTACACCCATGTGCTGTCTATACACCCAAAAGGACTTGTAATGAGAAAAGTCCAGGGGAGCTGGGCAGTGGACCGGCGGCTAAGTCATAGCAACGATGGCCTTTTCTAGTGCAATGATGTGCTGCAGACAAGAGTGCCATGGCAGATGTGGCCACAGACAACAGCAGTGCAGAGTATGTAAATGTGCACAAGACACATATTTACTCATTAGTCCCTGAAAGTTTTTATAGGTCTGCGTGAGTGTATGAATGTGTACTCCCCCAAAATTTGTATGTTAAAAAAAATCTAACCTCGAGGCAATGATATTGGGAGGTGAGGATTTGGGAGGTGATTAGGTTCTGAGGCTGGAGTCACATGATGGGATTAGTGCCCTCATAAGGGACCCTAAAAAGCTCATTGCTGCTGCCATGTAAGGACACAGGGAGAAGGTACTGTCTGCAGCCGAGAAGAGGGTCTTCCCCAGAACCCAGCTAAGTCTGATTTCAGACTTCCAGCCTCCAGAATTGTGAGAAATAAATGCCTGTTATTTATAAGACACCTTGTTTATGGTGCTTTTTGTTACAGGAGCCTGAACCGACTAACACAGACTGTTGCCGACCTAGGACATGGACCATAAGTAAGTTTCTAAGAGCTTCCCCATGAGTCAGCAGCACCAGGCACTGTGTCAAGAGAGGCAGGAGGTGAGCTCCTCTCTCCTAGAAACTGCCCCGTGAAGAGGGACACATTAGCCTCAAAAGGCAAGAGTGGAAGCAGAGGACAGCTTAAATTCAAAAAAGCAGGACAGCCACACCCACATGCACCCGCAGGATATTAGAGGACCCAAGACAGCCACGCAGTGACGTGCTATACTGCAGGCTGGGTTCCCTGTGCTGTTTCAAACAGCCTTATTGGAGCAGAACTTTGTCACCCAGTAAGACTGTTTGTCAAATATGTTAAATTTATTTTACAGAAATCATCCTACAGGAATAAAATATACTTTGCTAAATGATTAGAGTAAAATTTTCTCAACTATTTAATCACTGAGAGCAATAAATTATATTTGAAGATTTATAATTGTGCGTAGATGCATAAACATTTTTGAAAAGGGAACAAGCAGTACTATTTCTATTATTTTTCTCACTCAATTTTCTATGTCCAGAATCAAAAAGCTCTCACTTATGTGAAACGGACCAGGGCTGGATGCCAATCTTTTTTTGGTCTTCATTTTGTTATCGTGGGGCCTGACCTAATGCCTCCTTGCCTTCTGGTTGAAAGTGAAATGACCCCTAGCCGAGCAAAGACTGCCCACTTCATTGCATTCAGGTTATGCTAAATCTGAGATAATTTTTTATAGTATTTTTCAAAGCAGTTACTGTTTTTCTGGCTCACAAACAGCTTCATGTTCCCAAATTTCTCTCATGGAAGTCTTTCTCTGGTGGAAACAGTCAGTGACAGTTGAATAAACATTTGTAAGTGCTCACAAGTCATGCTTTCTGTACTTGAGTCTGATGAATGGGACTGTGAAACCAAGGCAGCATTTCATAAACATATTCTTTTGTGTCCTTATTCTTTAAACCATTACATTATCTATCCATCAGAGCGCCTTAAGGATACACTGAATTCATTTTTAACTTAACAAATAGGTAAGCTTGTGGTCATTCTTTATTTCAACAGAGATCCTCATCAGAGGCTGTCCTTGCTGGCTGGGATACAAGGTGCAGCTTTGGGGCATGACAGGGAGACATCTGTACCAGGCCTGTTGCCCAACAGCTGCAGAAATGCGTGTGGCCTGCGCTCTGGTCCAGTGCATAAGCGTGCTGCCCAAGGCTGGTGGGAAGGAAGCCATGTGAAAAAAGGTCTTTTTACAATTCCTTCAGGTTCTGCCCTCAAATCAGGATATGTTAGTACTCAGCACAGCTGACCCAATGTGTCTGACTTGGAGCTTAATGATCAAGATAATCATTTGTGAAGTAGATACTTCCTGTCAGGCTGTTACAGGCAGAAATCTGTTGTAACAAAATGCTGTTCTGCTGCAGTAATAGTCCTGTGGACTGTTTATTCTGGAATCAGTTTATCTGATGGGCTAATTAGTTGGGTTCACAGGATTATTTAAAAAAAAAAAGTTTTCATTTTGTTTTCAGGTTGCAAAACCAACATTTGTAAACATAGTTCCACTAAACTTAATCAATCCATTACTCAATAATTAAACTCGGTTTTGCACCAACATTAAACATCAAACAAATGACAAGGAACCCTGTCAATTCATGAATCTTTATGCAAGGAATGCCTCAAAAAATGGAATTATGTATTTTCTATTTCTGGATGTTTCATATTCAAATGTTAAGAGGGATTTTCCTGTTCCATTTTCATTTGAGGAAGGACTGTTACAACTGACCTGGCATGCTCTTCCTCAGTCTTCGCCTGATCCAGTTTCTTAAAATATCACCATCAACTCATTTATTTTTATTACTAGAAACTAGCCAATATGTGCCTCTTAAAATGTGACATAACAAATGTCCAGGAGTAGCATCTTAGCCCCCAGAGGCGATGGCAGCCAGGAGAAGGTGGTCACGGAGGAGGAGGGGAGCACAGATTCTCAGGGACAGAGGGCCTCACGCTGGGCCGAGATCAGCCTGCTGTTGTCATCATTGTTGATGCGTGAAATTTGGCTTTGGTTTTTATTCATTTTCTAGGACTTTGTAATGTATATATAGTCTAAAGTGCTGACATGTTATTTCAGCCAAGCACGTGTAGAGTATGACTCTCTCTGCTTCCAAGGAAAGCATGAGGGAGCAACGCGGGGAGTGCACGGGGCCCGGAGTCCACCAGGACCCCGGGCAGCACAGTGGAGAGCGCCTGCGTGCAGGGGCTCCGGGGGGCGGCGCCGGCCCTCCCCTCCTGCTGCAGGCCCCCTGCGCTCCCGTTGCTGTGCAGTCAGTGTTCCTCCCTGCAGTCAGCGTGTTGCAGGTCGGATCCCAGATGCCCTGCTTGACATTTAACTTGACCCTTGAGTCCAGAGACCAGCAAGTAAAATCAAGGAGGCTCAGAACAGGGTGGATAAAATGATAATGCTGACCTGTATCAGATGATTCCTTATAGCTGGGTTATTCTTTAGATATTTGTGTGGTTTTGACCTTTGTAGCCGAAGCATTACATAAAATGAGATTCAGCAATTTAAATTAATATTAACATTTCAACAATCTAACCTTAAAACAGATATAGTAAGGTCGGAGAACGAATTTAAAATGTTAAAAAGTGTTTTGAAACTTACTGGTGGTGATCTTGTGCTCTGGGGACTAAAACACAAATGGTGAAGAAAGCAAAAGCCCCACCTTGAAGAGACCAGCTGGCCAAGCCAAAGCCACACCACTCAATCACTTCTCCAAAGTAGTTGGCTGCACTTACGTATTCAAATAAGCCTCCTAGAAGAAAGCACAGACCCAGCGGTGTGTTGACTACAAAGTGATGCCCAGGAAATCACTTAAAGATAATGGTAAATACTTACCTGGAGAAAATAAATTCAATTGTGGGAAAATATAACTTTTACAGAATTTTAATCAATAAAACACATCCGACATTACTAGTTCCACTATTTCATATCACATTTTCTGGTAGTAACTATCTACCTGTACCAATACCTACCTATTTATCCTAATAGAAAATGCTAGTTTTCATATACTTCAATATATATCACTTCATTAGTTAATGGATCAAACTGACAAAATCGGAGCAAGGACAAAGAACACAGAGTAACAATTAATGAACTAAGTTGATACAATGGACCTGTATAAAACTCTAGACCAAAAATTGAGGAAAATATGAATCTTCAAGGACAGAGTCATTCATTCATTCATTTGTTCATTCACTACTCATCAAATCGTTACCAATTCATCAAGTCTACATTAAGGACCAGACCATGGTGGAGGCGCTTGGGTTATACTGTGGATAAGATCACCCCTCCCCGACACCTGAATATGAAACGGCAGTGTATTAAACAAGAAAAGCACAGAGGGTGACAGAGGGTGTGGAGTCCTGGGGGGAGCTGAGCAGGGTGGGAGGGCCCAGAAGTTGAGCTGGGGGAAGAGGGAGGTCACGGTAGTAGACAGTGGCTGGGGTCAGGCCTCCCTGGGGAGGTGTGGTTTGATCTCAGACTTCCTGGGAGGGCTGGGCTACAGTCTGGGGTGGGAGTCCTCCAGGCAGGAGAAGCAAAGGCCTTGAGGCCAGAGGGCAGAGTCACACATTCTGCCTGGTGATCACCCGCAGGGCCCCAGTTAAAGTAATTTGAGATTTATAGAATTTTTTTGGTCATTTGTTCCTTTTGTTGCTGTTCTTCTTACGTGGTTTCCAGGTAGGTAAATAGAAAGTTTCCAAACTAAGCGTGGCTGTGTACTTTCCAGCTCCAACAATTTTTAGTCTTACCTACTTGGTTTCTTTTTTAGGAGCTCTATTGGTTTCTAACTTATATTTCCTTAGTCCTTTTTATAGTATATACTTTTTTTTTAAACTCATAACTTCTATCCCTTTTTATTTTCTTAAAATCTACGTATTCACTGTATAATCTGTTCCTATTAACTCTAAGGCCTGAGGTCTCTCATGTTTAATTGTGCTGCTACTACTCTCAGTGCCAGATTTCTTCATCGGTTCTGCAACCTTCCAATAAGGCTCTCATTCCTTGGCACATGGCCTGTGGGGCTCTCTTAGGCTTGAGTAGATGGCAGGTCCCTTTGGGGATCTGGCTGAGCCGTGGCCCATGCACGAGGGCACCATACACCAGGACCACATAGATCCTAATTCATTCTGACCATCCAAATGCTGCGGATTTGGGTTGCAAAACAGCATGAGCGCAGCTGGTGGTGACAGATTCTCACAGGTGTGCTCTGGATGCCAGAACTCACTTAGATTTTGCCCTCTGATGATGCCTTCCTTCTCTGACACCCCACTAATACATTTAAAAAGACTTTAAAAATTCAACCAGTGACAGCAAAGCATGTAGTAAAGAAATACAATACTAATCTAAAGATAATATGGACTAGGAAACCTGATTTATTGAAATTGTGCCGGGAAGCAGCTAAAAATAACATGAAAAGGATAGACAGATTTTTATTGATGTTGAGAATCTCGTGGTTTGGTAGCTTTTTTCTTACTGATTTAATTAACCCTTTGTATGTTATGAGCAATAACAGCTCTCAGCTAACCTAGGAAACTTGGTTATCTTCATTTTATATATAAAGAAACTTGAGCCACCTCCAAATTTCATCCAAAATTTTTGTTTTCAGAAATAGGATCAGTCAAGGTATCTATCCTGTCATATTTTTTTTAAATGAAGTATTGGATACCCCTTGTAAACATAAGTTCTTCCTCATACTCTCTCTTTCCAGGGATAACTAGAATTTCCTTTTTGGTTAATAACCATTCAGTTGGCCAAAATTTATCATTTTAATAAAACGATAATCATAATAATTGCTATTAATAATAGTGACACATATTAAAAACTATAGCTAATCCCTGGCTGGTAATGGCTCAGTTAGCTGGAGCATCGTCCCGTGCACAAAAAGACTGTGGGTTCAATTCCAAGGCAGGACACACACCTGGGTTGCAGGTTTGGTACTTGGTGCAGCCGTGTTTGGGAGGCAACCAATCAATGTTTCTCTCTAACATCAATGTTTCTCTGCCTCCATTCCCCTTTCTCTAAAAATCAATGAGCATGTCCTTAGGTGAGAATTAAAAAACAAAAACAAAACTAAAGCTAATACATACTACACTTTAGTTATTAGATCTGGCAAAACTAAAACAGCAAGACATCATGCAATGCAATTTTAGAATTAATTTTCCATTTTCAGTACATACCCCTTGGAATTCTGTATCCAGTCTCCCCTGGCTGCCTGAGATTCCTTAGGATATGATCTGAGTGAATATTTATCAGCATGCCCATTAACCACAGGACAAAACCTGAAGAAAAAACATACACAAGAGTATTGAATGATACACTACAAAATTTACAAACCCATGCTTGAATGAACAGTATCACTAATTCTTTATATTATCATATTAGTATGACATATACGTCATAATTGATAGTAAAAATCAATATAATAAATACTGTCTTATATTTACAAGGACAATTACTGCTGTCAGATATGCTAATTAGGGCTTTGTTTTTCTAATACTATTAATTATCTGATATTGTCAAAATACTTTGACCTGATGGCCAAAATCTATGTTTTTTTAGGATGACTGGTATGATTAGAAATATGACTATGGTTATAACAACTGTATGAGGTATGACTGCCCCTCCTTTTGGCAGAGAGGGAACATCTCAGGGCATGCTCCATCATGACGCACATCTTGGAGGGGCGCTGGTTCCTAGGAGTTAATCTCTGGTCCTTCTCTCTCCTTTCTTTAGAACTGTTAGAGTATTTTTATGCACATCCATGGCTTCCCCCACTGCCAGTTTCCTGCCACTCATCAATCAGCCTTCCCAGGTCTGTTCACCTGCCTCAGCTCGCAACAAAATCTTCCAAGTCACTGCATGCTCTTCTAAGCACCCCATAGCTTCCTGAAAGCTTTCCCTCCCATTGTGAAAGTCTTTAGAGGGTTGCCATCACTTACACTTATTAATATCACATCAATTAATACGAACGAGAAAAGGCAAAATGTCAAAGTAGTGTTTTATGAAAGAAATAACTTGATTTTGATAAGAAAAGTTAACTTGAGCTGTAGCTGGTGTGGCTCAGTGGATTGAGCACTGGCCTGTGAACCAAAGGGTCGTCGATTTGATTCCCAGTGTAGGGCACATGCCCGGGTTGCAGGTCAGGTCCCCAGCAGGGGATGATCAAGGTGCAACCACACATTGATGTTTCTCTCCCTCTTTCTCCAGTCTTAAAAAATTAAAAAAAAGATCACTTGATTATTCTGAGATATTTAAAAAATGTGAAAGGCAGATGCTGCTTTATAGTGACATTCAATTCAATAGGAAAAAAATGTATGATTGGGATAACATTATTATTAATTAATCATCAGTCATCCTGATGGCATTAAGTAGTTTCTCACATGAAGCAGGGTCACATAAAGCACCATGGTCTATGGTAAGGGTCTTAAGATCTCCTTCTGATTCTACCACTGTAGGCTGCTTTTTTTCTAAACAGTTTGTACCAAATTCTGCAATGTTTTATAAGTCACTTATAGAACCCATAAATTTATAGCTGATTTATCACCTTTTTTGCATTTCAGTTGTCTCCTCTTAGTGATATGGCCCCCAATTTGAGGTTCCAGAAAGAACGTTTTCAAATTTCCATGCTTACTTTATTCCTCTTGAGAGATAAGCTCCCTTTACTGCCTAGATTGGCATGAAAAGTAGTATCTGTGCTCATCTAGGCTAAACATTTAATTCCATTTCTGGGGGTCTTAAAATTTTTGTATAAGATCTTTTAGACTAACAACTTTTACTGCTCTGGAAAACTTTTTGTTAAGATGTCATCATCATTATTTGCTTCATTAGCTCTTAAGTATTGTGAATGTATTCAATTATGTATTCATGTAATTTTATGTTTGTCTCCTTACAAAACCTATAAACTCTGTGAAATAAATATAATGCAAAAAAGAGTAACCTAGTTTGTTTTCCAATTTTCATTTTATTTTTCATTTTTGATTCCTTCAGTTCAACTGCAAAGAATCAAGAGGTCTATATACAATTTACTAGTGTCTTAAATTTTACACCAGCTTCTAAGGTGTAAATCTGCAGGTGACGTGACCTGTCTGTAGAGCTACTTTAAATGACATTCACATTCACAGACCAAAATGATTCTTTTGTTTTGTTGTTCATCAAAATTATTCAAGCAATTCACCACAGAAATGATTCCTGTGAGAATCACAAATAAACATTAAAACCCCTACCTTTTAGATTAAAAAATTCTTTTCCTCTTGTCCCTCCCTGTCTACTTTTGGGGAACCCGTATGGTGAGCAGTTTTATCTGCTACTTACTCAATTTAGATGGACAAGCTGCTTAACCCTCTGATTCTCCCTCTCTCCTTTGAAAGGACCTAATTTCTACCCTTCTAAGGATGTTGGGGGAACCTAAGGCATGTATGTGCTGCAGCTCCTGGCTGATGGCCAGTCCTGTTCTTTCTCTGCTTCTGGTGGGCGGGGCAGAAGAAAATCAGGTAAATCAAGAAGATATTTGGGGGTAGTATACAAACAATGTAATTTAATCTAGCGTTTCATGGTGGCACGGATTTGTAAATCTAGAAAACAGTCTTGATATCCATCCTTCCTTTGATAGATGAATAAGCAGGTCCCTCCAAGTAAGAATTCTCTGGGATGACAGGGTACTGCCCTGGGAATAAAACTTTAATTCACAGAAAAAACTATGAGAAATGTAAAAGTACTTTGTCAACAACAAAGTACTGTTAAGTGTTAGTTTTCTCTATTATTATGAATTTATACCAAGAAAAAGGCAAATGAAATATAAGGTAATTTTACAGAGCTCAGGGTAAAAGGCTGTGGGACAGCTTAAAAATTTGAAGGATAATTTCATACCTCTTAGTATGCAGCCATGGGGGCAAGTTACATCTTAATATGTTAGAATTTCTAAATGCCAGGAGGATAAACTACATAAACATATAAAAGAATCTCCTTATAAACAAGAGCCCTAAGATCACGAATTTTTAACACTCTTGCAAATATTTTTGATGGCTAATGTTTTATCTTCATTTTTGCTCAGAACTTGATTTTAATTAGAACTTGAAAAGGTACATTAATTTATAGTAATTGATAAAAATTTCAAAACTTACTAGAAGTAAAAGTTTAACTTCGTACAATCATAAATATCCAACTGCCTTGTTGGAAGATGACCCAGTCTGAGTTTTCTCTCACAATCTAGAAGAAATCGTAGGAGGTGCATGGCTCACTTAGATAACATGGCCAATTTGTGCCCAAGTCTCCACAAGTCTTCCAGGTGCTCTAGCTGTTGGAGCTTGTTGCTATATTCAGGTTTACCTTAAGAACCGGTATTTGTATTTTCAGTGTCTGAGTGGGCACAGGTGCGGTGGGAGAGCATGACTCTCCCCCACCCCAGCACTCCATTCCCCTGGGAGCTGGGTCACACATCATCACAGACTTTTTCCTCTCTCAGCAAGTGTGGGCGTCCTAACTGGAAACGACTGAAAAACATCACTAACGTCATTCACCTGTTAGGAATCGGGGGTCAGTGACCCAGTCATCAGCATACTCTGCATACTGGCTTAAGTATCTGCCTTGCAAGTAGCCATTACAGGTACAGAACAGGAATGCAGCTACACATACGTACAATGGTGTAGACTTCCCTCCTCGGATCAGAAACGGAAAAATCAAGGACCTTAGGAAACAAGAAATAGAAACAAATTAAAAACAACAACAATGAAGAATATATTCCTGCAATTCTGTTTTAAGTGCCTTGGGGTTTAAATCTTGTTTCCTTGAACAAAAGTCATTCTCAGTAACACTCCTACTGATTATCTGTTAAAGGCACAGTATCTAGATTAAAAAAAAAAATTAACCATGTTTCAATTAACATACACCATTGTGCACAAACTCAGAATGTGAAACAGACACATCAAGTTAGAGAAAACAAAGTTTCAGGAGGCTGTCAGGATTGCCATTATCCTAAGACCCATGGTTCCTTCTAGTCTGAGCAATACAATTTGGGGGACACCACTTTATCATCCATCACCATCACTTTCATTTACTAAGCACCCACCACCTATAAGGCCTCACAGCTACCTGCATTTTTCAGCCACGTCAACCTTGGCATTGACTTCTTGAATAAACAACTGAGTAGTATCGGGGAGTGATATCACATTCCCCCTAGACTGCACCCTATTTTGGGCTCAGCCAAAACAAAGACTTTTCTTAATAAGAAAAATTGTCCTCATCCACTATTATCGAGTTTTGAAGGGCTTTGGAAATTAGCTTTTGCTGTGGACTTGAAGATGTTTCTTAGTGAATTCAACCCAAAATTACAAGGTAAAACATCTCTTGCATGCAAAATTTATACTGTATTAAAGGCATCTTAATGACAACCGACATTGTTTGAATCACAAGTCATGTCAAACAGCTTTATTTTCTATGCCGTTCAAGTTAAAAGAAGGGGTGAGGTCTCCATTTTTACAGAAATTAGCAGTGGATATAATTTCTAAGCTCAAACTACAGTGTTTTCAACCGTGATTTCCATACTTCAAAAGTCACTTAACTGTGTAATTGAGAAGTTGCCACCTAATCTTCAATTGGAAGTATTAATCTAAAAAATAATGACACCTAAAAGGCAAATATCAAGAAAAGTGTCTAACAGAATTTGATAAATGTCTTTCAAGCAATGAATATGCTCAATTAAAGTCATAAACTCATGGAATGACATCGTATTTGGCAATGCCTACCTGTGTGAAAAGACATTCTTTAAGATAAAATTTCATTGCAGGTCAGAACTAAGAGGTGAACACTTAAAACAGATTTAGGGAATAGGGAATACTAACTCTGAAGCCCAATGGAGTGAAATGTTATCCCCCACCAAAAGGAATATTCCATCCTTCTTATTACACTTGCATGACAAAACTGCCTTAAACATTGTATTTTGAATTTTGTCAATGAATATTTTGTGAAAATTTGTTTTCTCTTTTGTTATAAATATCAATACAATATCCCTTTTGTTGCCTGTTGGCCCACAAAGCTTACAATATGCACTATCTGATTTCTTTAAAAAGTTTTCCCCTCCTTAGTCTAGATTAAAATAGTTACACTCTGGAAACATCACTTTGACTTTCTTAGAAAAATGCTCTTGCTCAAGATGCCGCACTTGGGCTGCAGGCAGATGCTGCAGTCTGGGACTTGTCTGTGCTCGCGGTGCATCCATGTGCATCCATGTGCATCCATGTCCTCAGTTATGCAGAGTTGTACTGCCTTCTGCCCCAGTGTACACCCTGGGGGAACCTGGAAAAGACATTCATAAGGGACCATGAGAGAAGATTTACCTCTCTTTGGTCTCATGTGAATGCCTGAAAAGTGACCATGAACAGAAATGGCCTTAAAAAGGGTGACACAGGTCTCTTCTGCTGCTCTCTAACCTCTGACCTTGAAGAGGACAGTGGTGACGCTGATGCCACAGCCAAGGTCAGGAGCAGAAAAGGCGGGCTTGGGCAAGGTTGCCTATGTTGTTGCAATGTTGCAATGTTGTTCAGAGCTCCAGGAGCGAGAGAAAGTTCTCCATCCCATGCTGTCCTTCCCCAAGCCTGAGCGACCCCAGGTGGACCGAGTACTCCTGGCTCTGAGGACACATGAGACCAGGTCTTCAGTAGACAGATATCCAGATGCAGCATGTCTTCCAGAGTGGAGCACTCTGCTTCCTCCCAGCAGCTTTCAGATTATTTTCTCTTTTTGTGTTACTACCTTTGATTTTACTGCTTTTCCTTGGAAATCATTGCAGCTCTTATCAGAAAGGTTTTCCTTTGACCTGGGCCAATTAAGAGCCAGAATGGGGGTAGAGAGGGTGGCTTCTAGGCATGGCTTTTATCTGAGACTTCATCTAGATACAGGACAGCAGCAGCTCGAGGATCAAAGTGGATGCCAGGCAGTTTCACATGGTGAGGAACTTGGGGATGTGGGATCAGGCTTAGATAGTAAAAAAGGTGGCAGAACTGCTGGACTGACATACTTAGCACCTGTCACAATCCAGGATGCAGGGCCCAAGGTGTCTCAGTGACAGCAGGTCTGGGTATTCAAAAGCCTTTTCTCACAGGTTGTCTCATCTGCACTCACAGTCTAGGAACAGTGGAAAACAAGCATTCCCCCTCTTTTGGCAAAGGATTAAGTCAGAAGTCGAAAATCCCTTAACATGGAAGCCATCTTTCAAAGTAACTATTTGTGTAATGTGTTATAAATCCATTTTTTTGTTGTTGATAATGAGCTGAAGCCTATACAATATTAACCAGGTCCCAGGGAACTACTCATCAGGCTGGCTGTGGGATGCATATCAGCACTTGTTCTCCATCAAGCTTTAATTTTCCCATTTTCTTTTCTTTCTGTTCCATGTAAACAAATAGATTGACTTTTCACCAAGTTACTTTTATTAGTCATGGAAACATGCACATCTTTGTGTCTGCAAGGCAAGGGGGAATGTGAAACACGTCTGATGAGGGGGTGAGCCAAGGGCTTTCAGAAGCCTGAATCTCTGGAGCTCCCAGAGCCAGAGCAGTCTGCTGTCTGTCTTCCCTGGGGTGCGTGTACCCGGTGAGGCATGCCATAACAGTGCTTCCCGTGGGTCCTGATCAAAGTGATCCCAGTAATTCCTAATCCTACACTGCATGCCTTTTTTGACACTTCAGAACTATTACTACTACCCTATTTAACAGATCAGGACCTGGAGGCTCAGAGGAATATGGAGGCGTGGGCAGTGGAGACAGATGGTGGGGAGTGGCAGGCTTGAAGGCAAGGCCACCTTCCCAGGTAGTCTATCCACCACATCACAAGGATTGAATGAGAAGTAAGACGGGGGCAGAGCTGGCACTACCTATTCACACCATGGTATAGTAGATAGTTGTTAGAAATCATTTTTATTAAGGGTTTCTGCTAAGCCAGAAAAATACTAATTAAGTGACAAAAGTGAGATACGGGATTTTGCTTATGTTTGTGTATCTTTACTGCTGAGAAAAAATAATCAAAAACTTATTTAGAACAATGAAAGAGATGGGAACGAGATACGCCCAAAATACTGTCATCATTATCTCTAAGTAATGGAATTAGAGGTGGTTTTCATTTTCTTTCCTGAATTACTTTGTATTTTCTAAGTTTTCTACAGCGAGCATGTACTTCATCCATAGGTTTGTTCACACACAATGCTGACACAATGCTGGCCAGTACTTTAAGTCAGCGCTGACCTATAACATTCAGAAAAGACCAGGTGAACAACAGGGAGAAATGGGATTCCCTGGGCTGAAGGCCTGCAGTTGCTTAAGGGAAGGGTTTAGAGAGAATCTGGCAAAATTAATTAGTAGGCAAACACACAGAGTATCTGTGGGGATGTTTGTGAATTTTAAGGGGAAAAAGTATCCTCTAAGCACCGAGGAAGGAAAATGAATCACCAAAAGAAAAGTCACCAAAGCTGTTATGTGTCTGTTTTCACTATGGAGTGACATCGGAGTTCTGAGCTTCCGTCCACTCTCCTAAGCAGTACTGAGTGGTTTCTGGGACTTTTCAGGGAACCAGGAGTAATACCTACATGAAACCACTTAAGTGGTAAACAAACAGTTTGCCCGCCTGCTACAGGTGATCTGCTTAAAGGGCAAAGACTTGAGGGAAAGCATTCCTTTCAGAGGCCTAATGCAGCCAAACACTTGGAGTAACTATTCCTTAAACATTTAGAGTCAGACTTCGTAATCCCAGAAATAAGTTCCATGCCTGTTTAAATCACATAGTAAACTGTTAGAATTATCTCTTGACATGTTTCCCCAATAAACTGGAATAATAACACCCCCGTTTTCTGGCAGTGAGAATATAGGGCATTCATTCAGCAAATGAGTTAATTCTCAAAACAAAAGCAACTGGACATCACCTCCCAGGACAACACAACACAACACAGCACCCCTAAACTTGGGAAACAAGGAAATATCTAATTTGATGGGTTGGGAGTAATTTGGGTAATAGCAGATGCAATCACTTTTAAATGTTTACAACTGAGAATGGTTAATTTTAATAAATGACTGACTTTTTACTCAACAATTTGAGGTCACTGAAATGTATACCACTTCTAGATTTGGATCAGTTCCTTTTTCTCATCTTTCCTTTTATAAAAAACTCTTTTGTAATGAAGATCAAACTACACAGTTCCCCATAATGCTACATAGGTAAATAAGCCCTTTGCATTTTCAAGGCAAGGTTAGGACCTCAATGGATATTTCACTGCATTCGATACTTTTGTATAAAAGTTTTTCCTTCCTCAGATTATTTGAATCCACAAAGCACAGGTCAAGGATTCAGTGTGCCCGCCACTCCCTCCAGATCTCTGTTTTTTAACTTTTTATCTTCCATATGAGACATTTAAAAGTGAGGCTAGACCAGGCTCTCCCCAAGAGGCCATGAATAGAACTGAGCAGGAGAAACATGCAGGTGAACTAGGTGAGGTTCTCTGAGGCCTCATAAGGAGGGATCCTGTCAAGTCATTGGTCTGCTGAGCACACACCTCAGAGTGGCTGTCAGGAAGAGGAGGCCTCGTGGGGTTTTGAAAGTCTGTAATCTGGTGGCTATTCAATACTCTCCCTCTGTAGATCCCAACGGGTCATGGTAAAGACAGTAACAACATGTGCTTAAGTGGGACTTTGTTGTTTGTCATGGATTAAAATGTTCCCACCAATGTGCTTCGCCATCCACCAGCAAACTGGTGAGGGCCCTGGTGTGTTCCTTCCCACTACTGTCTCTTCTTCCTCTTCTAGTCAGGACTTTTCTTCCCTCCCTGGCTCTTCTGCCAAAAAGATCCTGCATGTTCTCCACAGTCTATCTTCTACGCCTTGACTCCTTAGGACAACTGTCTTTATATCCCCAATAATGTATATAGTGCTGGGTACATGAATCAATCCTCAATAAGTGTTTTGTGAGTGAGTACATAAAGATGTCCAGGTTTCCCCACTCCTTGAAGCAAATACCTTTCCCACTGACTGTGAGAAGCCCCTCAGCCTGGTTCTAGTCCTCCCCAACCCCCTCAAGAGGCTAAATCTCACCTAGGGCAGGGCTTGGCCACCTTCCTCAGAGTTTAGCACTTGGGCCCTCACAGACATCAGCCAAACTCTTAAGTTGCCACCACTCAGTCCTGGTCAGAGTCTCTCTTTGGAAAACACCTCCTGGTTCATGCTTCTCCTGCCACCATCCTGATTCCGGCTTCATTCTTACAGTCTCCACTCTTGTTCAGGCCTGTATCACTTGCTTTGTCCTATATAAATGAAGGACCCCATTAACTGTTTCCCAGTTAGGCTGCATGGTTTGTAACAAATACTAACTGCAGCTGGCGCTTCTGTTCTCTTCCAAGTGCTCGCTGACTTAGGTCAGATAACTGTTTAATAAATTAGTTGGTTAGGTAGAATGGAAAACCTTTATCTTTTCTATTTGGAAAACTCCCATGTCCCCAGACTGCACAGACTATGTGTACAGTAATATGTGTAACTTAAAAAATAAAAAACGCAGCAGCTCAAAAACTGCACCTAACTGGGCACATCGTCAAGGGCGAGTTTCTAAAGCCACTTGTCCAGGCATCAGGGGTCGTAGTCCTAGCAATCTCTAGTCCAATGGCCTTGCATAAAACTCCACAAGTGACTTCGGCCCGTTGGGAGGCTGCATTCGTTCTTTCACTAGTGAGCCTAGAATGGATTTAACATCATGCTTTAAGTTCAAAATCTTCTGTTCCAGGCTTTCAAGCAAAGCTCTGTAAAGTGCTCTCTTCATTTCCAATGCCATTTCTGCAAAAGTTCTTCATTGGCACTCGAAGCTAGCAGCAGTTGTGTGTGAAAGATACACAGAGTATGGACATGGATCTGTCCACTTGCATGACAAACTAAAATGGTATTATTTATCATGTATTCAGCATTGAGATTTGCCAACACCCTGAAAGCATTTTGCGGAGCTGCCTTTCCACAGGCTGGTGTCATCACTGTACCTGGTTCATAGATGGGGAAACACTATGGAGAGCAGCTTACTAGCTCATCTCAGGTCCCAAGTAATGGAGATTAGATAACACCTGGCAAAATAACTCCAAAGCTTGCTTTTAGCCACTAGAGAAACGGACAGATGGACAGATACAGGTTCTGGTATATGTATGGATAAGTGTATATAAACACGAGAGTTCCACTGATATTTGAATTGCATCCACAAATTTGGTAACGCTCAACCACATTACCAAAAAAATCCAACATAATGACAGAGACTTTGCTTAATGAAACATTCTTGGAGTGTCACGGGCAATGGTCTCAGAAATGATTTGTTGAACGTGAATTCTCCCTAATTAAAACGTCTGCATAAAAGCAGGTGAGGACACATTGCACCAGGCAGGACTCCGGTGTCCTAAAAACCATATCAAATAAAGGCTCATAGAGATGCACACACTCACACCCACGTGCAAGTGTGCTTACTTCTTCCTACCACTTTAAGCAGTGGGTGTGGTAAGGTGGGACCCAAAATCAGAGAGGTTCAGTAACCTTCCCACATTCACACAATTGAACCCAGCTCACTTGATGCAGAGGGCTTTCTTTTTAACTATGCAGCTTTCTGAAGTCTGAATTAAAAATTTAAAATTTTGATTTCCAGCTTTTGTTTAGACATTTGTTTTAACTGTAAAAGCCAAAGCCCAAGAACTGGACAAAGTCCAACTTATGAGAACCTGAAGATCTCAGTGGCAGCCATTTAAAAATTCTTCCCAAGCCCTGGCTGGTGTGGTTCAGTGGATTGAGTGCTGGCCTGTGCACCAAAGGGTCGTGGATTCTATTCCCAGTCTAGGGCACATGCCTGGGTTGCGGACCAGGTCCCCACTGGAGGGCGCAAGAGAGGCAACCATACACTGATGTCTCTCCCCCTCTTTCTCCCTTCCCCTCTCTAAATATAAATAAATAAAATCTTTTAAAAAATAAAATAAAATTCTTCTCAAAAGCCAAAACATTTGGGAGGCATGTTCAAGATTTTATCTGTGTTAAAGTCATTGCTTGGAAAGCCACTTCCACAGTCTTGGGCGCCACGCAGAGGTGAAAGTCTCAGAAGTGACCAATTTCTGCCTATGGATATTAATCAGGGTATTCACAAAGTCCTTTCAGGAAAGCAGCTTTCCAGGTGATCACCTAACCAGGAGAAAACAACCCCACTAACAAGAACACCAAATGGTAAAGGGAGAAAAGGAGCCAGGAACATTGTGCAGGGGGGTTACCTTTTTCCACTCTGGCCTTAAACAAAGTCCAGTGTTACTGAGCAGTTAATACTTTCTAAGCCGAAATTTAAAAAAAAAACTCTCTTCTATTACCCCCACCCTTTAAGTCCTCTTTGTCTCCCCTACTTTTCCAGACTAATTCTTATTTCTAAGCTAAGTCCCTGAACCGGGGGACAGGGGTGAGGGGCCGGACGTGTAGGGAGAGGACAACAGGGACCGAGGAGAGGAGATTTCTCAGGAAGAGGATGCCAGGGAAGGGTCTGCAGGGAGAGGGAGTCTGAGGGGACAGGGTGGGGAACAGAGTAGAAGCGCCGGGGATGAATGGGTGGGAAGGAGCTAGTAAGGAAAGAGGGAACTCTCGCAGAGGGAGCCAGAGGCACAGGGAGAGAGCAACAAGCTAGGGGACGCAGGCAGAGGGAGCGGAGCCAGGGACACAGAGAAGGGCGCGGGGCCGCTGACCATTACCTTTGCATGTAGTGGACGAGGAACATGGCCAGGAGGACGCGGTTGGGCCAGCGGCGTAGGCGTTCGGCCGCCGTGCAAGCACACAAGAAGAGCGGCACGACCAATGAAGGCAGCTCCTGCAACGCCCAGGCGATGGACGCCTTCAGTCGCCAGCCAGAGTACTGCGATGCGTAGCGCCCATAGGGCGAGCCCACCAGCTTTATTAGCACGAAAATCGGGATGCCTACGGCGCACTCCAAGTAGGAGAGGGCATCCAACAGGAACCGTTCCGCCAGCTCCATTGCGGAGAATGGCAGGCGCGTTCCATCGCCGGGCGGCAGTCGAGCGCCGCGCACAGGGTTCCGGTAAAGGGGCGGGAGGCGCGGTTCCGTGAGTAAGAGATGCAAGTCCACGTCCTAGCTCTGATCCGTTGCTCTAAGGAGGTTCCAAGGTTGGGGATGCGCTGCTGGGACAAGTCACAACCAGACGCCGGCGCTCGCACCGTAAGATGGTGGGCGGGGCAGAAGGCGGGCCTGCAATTCTTCCACTCCACCCACTCGACAGAACTCCACCCCCGAACAAGACCGCCCTAACCACTCTGCGCATGCGCGACCACGGGCTGTCCGCGAAGCTGCCTGAGGCCACGCGGGAAACCCGGACAGTGGACTGGGAGACACCTCTGGGGCTGCTTTCTGTTGCCACTTTCTCACTCAGGTTGTCAGCGGACCCCTTCGGTCGCTGTTTTCTGGGAGTACCGGTTGCAGTGATTTTGACTTACCTCTTGAAGGTCCTTACAGGCCCGGGAGAGGCGGAGGCGCGGGACCTACGGGGGCCTCGAGCTGCAGCACGGAAGTGTCCGCCGCAGGAGGTGGCGGGCCGGTGGGTGCGGGCGGCGTGCGCGACCGCGTGGACCATGGGGCGGCGAGCGCGGGGCCGACGGCTCCAGGAGCAGCGTCAGCGGCGGCCCGAGGACTCAGAGGACGGAGTCGAAGGTGGCGGGAAGCGTAATGATGCGGTAGGAGGTGGGGCGACGGCGGGGCGGCTCCCCGTGTGGGCCTCCTGTACCCCGAGACCTGAGGGGCGGCTCCTTGAGTCCTGAGTACATTCCCCCACTTGTTCTTCAGGGCTGGGAAGGCGGGTACCCCGAGATCGTAAAGGAGAACAAGCTCTTCGAGCACTACTACCAGGAGCTCAAGATTGTACCAGAGGGCGAGTGGGACCAGTTCATGGAAGCGCTCAGGGAGCCCCTCCCGGCCACTTTAAGAATTACTGGTTACAAAAGGTAAGGGGCTTTGCATTTTTTTCCTCTAGAGTTAATAACAAGGGTATTTTGCCTGAGAGGTGTTACAGTGTTAGAGAACCGCGGCAGGTCAGCGGCGTGCATCCTGGAGTCTGGAAGCATAGAGGGGGAGTAACACAGGATCCAGCGGAATAGTTCAATAGGAAGCTAGAATAAGAAATGAAAGTGCAATCTGAGGAAGGGGGGACACTTGAGGATTAGTGAGCCGAGGACGCCTACCCTTTGGAACGCGTGAAAATTTGTGACATTTCCGAGTTTGGGTAAAGCTTCTGGTTCTCTTTCTGGTACACTTGTAGCCATGACTTTTTCAAGATGAGTTGCAAATAGAAATAGAACTGTAGAAATATTTAGAAGAGAAAGAATGCAGTAATATTGCATTAGTTTATCATCCTTTAGTGGTTAATAGGATTGTTTAAGCTTTGAAGGAATAGATTGAAAGGGCAGTGATTAAAGGATGTTTTCTCTCCCTGCAAATACGGTTTTAGTTTTAAATCACTTGTAGTCTTAAGTTCACAAAAAGATAAACTATCAATAGCTTTTCACATTGTTTTGAAACTTGCTTTTTTTTTTTTTTTTAATAGCCATGCAAAAGAGATTCTACATTGCTTAAAGAACAAGTATTTCAAGGAATTGGAGAACCTGGAGGTGGATGGTCAGAAAGTTGAAGTTCCACAACCCCTGAGTTGGTAGGTACAACGAAGCACCAAACTGTTGATGTGTCTTTGGGATTTTAATCTTTTGTCACTTGAATATACCTCTTAGTAATGCACTTGTTACTAGCATGAAAGAACCTGAACATAGGTCTGAGACATTCTCATGTTTTTATCTAATTTTTACTTTACACTTGTGTGCAAGTTTTCAGGTATGATTTGCAGCTCTCTATGTCTGAGTCATTGAGTTCACTTAATTTTTCCCAGTCAATTCAGCCCCTTTGCTTTCTTGATGTTACCACTTCTACCATTTCCATTTAAGAACCTTTGTTTTCTCATGTCAAGACTTGCTGAGTGGCTTCCCTACTTTCAGAAAAAGGACAGACTTAACACTGGCAAAGGTGCAGCAGACTGCTCCAACTGATTTTGTCTTTGATGTCTATCAGGTGCTTCAGCATACTCCTGCTGGACTTACTAGTGCGCCCCCCCCCGCTTTTTTCTATTTGTTCTGTAGGTTGGTGATTTCATGGCCCAGTTCAAGTCTTAGTTGTCTAAAGGTGATCCCCTCTGTCGACAGCCTAGTCTTTAGTCTTTATTGTCTTGTAAAATGCCTGGAGCACTGTAGCGCAAATCATAGAGCCAAACCCTAGGGAGTCATTACAGTAAATTGTTACAGTTTTACATTTTAGATGATCAACTCTGAGGCACTGAAGATTCTCACAAAACCAAAAAAAGTTTAAATGATTGCTGTAAAAAGGTGAACTTAACTCGCATTTTCTGAGAGCTTCTGGAGGTTTTGACTCTCAACTGAATGATGTTATCTTTCCTTTTTAGATACCATTCAGTGATTGCAAACCAGGGTCAGGTTTTCATTAATCATAAGCTGTGTGCTTTTCTTTCTTTCATTGCCATTTGGAGTTTCAGTGTCCATATCACAGATGTGTGCAGTAAACACACTTTAAACGAATGATGAATGGCCAGTGCTAAAATCATTATACAGCTGAAGTTATCTGTGAAGAATGAAAGTGAATCACTGTCTAATAATAGCCAGTCATTCTCTTCACATTATTTTTTGCTTTAATTTTCTGAATACAACTACTGAAGTATATGAACAACATATTGCATGATTCGGGTTCTTATACTTAGTTTTTTTCATTATTAGTGACAACTGTGTGACAGTTGTACTGTATAAATATTTATTTAATCAAATTCACTTGTCAGGTGCAGGATACCCATCCATCTCTTAGCAAGCAAGTAAGGCAGAAACTTATCAAGTCTGATGGTTTTCTGTATTGCTCACAATGCAGAAATATATAATCTTCTTAACCGTTTGGTGCATAGTGGATTAAAATTTAGGAGAGTTTGTGGGAGCCCTGCTTTCTAGAAGGAATTTTAAATATAGGACTTAAATTTTGGGCAGATTTCATTTTTTTCTTACTTTTCATAGACTTAGAACTGTAAGAAATTCTTCTAAAGTGTTTTTATGAAAGTCTGTTTTGACAATTATAGAGAATACACCTATTGTCATTCTTTTTCATGTGTGGATTGAAGATTTTTTCATGGATATTATATATACTTAGATTTTTTTTTTTTCCTCTAAGGATTTTTGAGGTGTAAAGGTGATAGCGGTACTTCTAATTTATCCTCAAAGTCCCAACAGGTTTTTAGATAGGACTTTAAAGACTCATGAACTAAATCTGAATTACATAACTAAAAATTAAATACAGTTGTTTGAGATTATTTTGTTTGATGTTAAAATTTACTGAGACTTTAGTAAATATTTGTTGGCTCAAAAAAGTTTTCTAAAGCTGTGTTAGAAACATTTTTTTAACAGCCTGTCTGTTTTTGTATTGAATTATTTGAACATTTTCAAATATATTTTTTCATAAGATTAACAGCTTCACAATCAGAGTTACTTAGAGTAGAATTTTAGTCTCCTTAAAATAAATTTACATTTCATCTATTAGAAGTTCCATCTGTAAGGCACATAAGGAAATAATTGCTCAAGTTATATATAGGCTGCTTATCTATATTTGAAAATAAGCAATGACATGCAGGATTCAGTTTAATGACAGTGGTGATTTGGTAAGGTGGTAACACATCTGTTGTTGATCACAGATAATTCAACTTTGCCAGAAGTTAAGTAGAAGTAACGTTCAGGTATTCAACTTTGTAAAGGTTGCAAGGGGACGACAGGGTTTTTTTGGAATAGGACAGTTAAAGCCAAATTTGAGTGTTTTCCTACCATTTCATCTCTAATGAGACCAAAGGGAATATTTAAAATGAAAGTCTTTTTTAAAATTTCCTGGTATGATTATATTTTGATTTTCTATTTTTGAAGCAGGTTGAATATTAAAGAAGGAAACAGGCATAGAACCAAAGCACTGGGGACATTTCGGGGGTGGCTGTGAACAGATTCAGCCAGCTTCATTTTTAACTCCTTTGTTTGGTAGAGAGAACTTTTCAAATGTATCTCATGTGGTGCCTATTGAGCAGTGTCTTAAAATCTTAATGCCTGAGGTTGTTTCTGTCAAATAATCACTCAGTGTTTCAAAGCAATCACATGTATTGCTTTTCAAACTCTCTGGTTTCATTTTCATGGCAGTTACCTGAGCCGTATTTGACATATGGAAAATATTGTGACCTTGCATTGTTAAAATTGAGCTGATTATTACACCTAAAACGTAATAAAGTGCTAAAATGGAAGTAAGATTTTATTATCGAATGCCATGTTATGCTTAGGATGGCACTGGGTTCATGGAACATGGCTCTGTGTTTCATAAGTGTCCTGACTTATGCAGTTGGAGATGAGTGGTGGACAGGTGCAAGCTGAGTTAAAAATTAACACAATTCCTCATCAGTGATGTCATCATTTATAGAAAGTTCAAATATATGTATTTATGGAGTTGCTTCATTCTTAGCTCTGAGTAAAAATCAAGGTAAGAGCTCAAGTTAATGCATTGGTAATTTCCAAGGATTTTTGGTATGTAATACATTTCCGTATGTTATTGGACTGGCTTGTTTTAGAAATAGGGGAAAATATAGTAACAGAATTGTAATAAAATATTTGTCAAACATTTTGATACCTACCCTATTATTTTGATTCTGTGTGATACACACTTCTTTAAATTTAAGAAATTTGTTATCTTACATCCTTTTTTTTCCTGATGACCTCTATACCATTAACTTTCCATACATAGTGAAGACCAGAGGAATCTCTGCTTTTTCATCAGATCTTAAACATTTATCATGATTTTACTGGGGATGTCACATGCGTGTATCTTCTGTGTCCCCCTTAGGCTCTCCAGTTTCTGCCTGGGCCATGATACAGTTAGAATCATGTTCCTGTGTCCTAGGGGACATCATGCAGTGTTGGCTGACTGTACTGTAGAGGACTGTGGATGAACAAGCATAACAAGATTGGATGCTTCGTTGGCTCTATGACCTGGATAAGCCAGAAGTTGTTAACGGAGCACTTTAATGTCTAAGTCCATAAATGTTTTAC